ATGTAGATTCACTCATTTTGCTCCGTATGTAGTCATTTGTTGAAATGCCTAGAAAGACAAGTATTTAGGAACGGAGGGAGTATGATCCATGCAGCAACACTCTCACACAAAGACTGGAGCAAAACAGGCATATCGAAAACAACATCTAATATCATTACTTCTAGGAAATAGAGTCATGCAAACAGTCCATAGTTTAAGATCAATTCATACAATACTTCAACGACAAGCATCACTCATCTCAACTGAACCTTAAAAGAATGAAGCTTAAGTGGGGCATGCAAATGAACGTGTCTTACCAACGTTTCAGATCTTCAATTTGAGCACATATGTCAGGAACAGCGCGACAGTAACCAAGGAACGTCTGAACAATGCTGAAAGGACGGATCAGGCTTGATCTGACTGAATGATCTTCACACTCGAATGGGAAGCTCTCTAGCTTTCTGGTGCCAAGATCATACATGTTGATGTTGCAACGTACTTCTGATCCTTGATAATCAAGGTAGTATATGCAGTTTCCAAACACTGATGGCAGCTTATCTGCATCGACTGATAGGCACCTAGCACCGACGAAGAGCGCCCGGCTGCCAATGTTCCTCACAGGTTTTAGCCGTTTCCGCTCAATGTCGACCCTGAAAACTTGCACCCTTTTGTGTCGGCGACTTACAACTAGCAGTTCTCCTGCAGACTCGACCAGGAAGTAGTCGAGGCCGTTGTCAGATGACTGGGCAATCAGTTCAGCGTGATAGTGCGGTGCCGTGCCCACAACCTTGAATATTTCTCCACCGTAACGGACCACGTAAAAGTGGCCGGCATAGGAAAGTACGCTTATTACATTGTCCAACGGATTGTCCCTGAAGCCTTCGAACTGCACCTGGCAGAGAGGGCTGGTGGCATCAGCACAGTAAACCACTTCTGTACTCTCACCCAGACACTCATCTCGAAACGAGAAGAGAAGCATGGGGCTAGAGCTAGAGCCGGCCACAGCAGTGAGCACCATGCTTTCCTGAGGAATTGGCGCGTTCGTAGCTTCGTGCATATATATAGGAGAGTGGCTGGTCGGAGGAATGCGTGTGGTCGCCGGCGGGACGCTTCGTTTCACCTCGTGGCTGGCCAAAGGAATACGCGTGCGGTCCTTCGCTATTCCCAGAAGCAGTGCAGTCACGACGCTCCATGGTAAATGTGACCGGTCCGCGAAGGGGCGCACGCGAATGCATCCCGTCACAAGGTCGCATGCAATTCCTTCCGCCTTCCCAAGCTAGGCCGCATTCATACCACAAACCAAGCTAGTAGTATCTACGGCCGGCCGAATACCAGAAAGCTGATCTTTGTGTACTAGCGAAATACGAGTACTAGTTTTTTTTTTAGGTAAAAATACGAGTACTAGTAGCAGCAGCCGAATGAGACGGCTCAGAGATTCACAGTGAACAGCCCGCATGAGACGGATCACCTTGCCGCATCAGGCCCATTGAGCCGGCACAAACATTTCAGTCATGTTGTTTTTCTGGACTGGTGTCATGTTTTCACGATTACGGCGTTGTTGGTTCACGAGTCATGACTACTCGTCGGCAGGCGCTGGCGCGCACACACGTGATGGCCGTGATCGGGTCTCCGGGGCCGGGTTCATAAAAAATGGGCAATGCTAGACTTATGTAAGGAAGCTACTTACGTTTACGTAATAGCCATCGTAGAAGATGCGAATCAACCTGTGGTTGAGTTGGTTAGGTGGACAGTGGTATCCCCAACCCACCAGGGTTCAAATCCTGGTGCTCGCATTATTCCTGGATTTATTTCAGGATTTCCGGCGATACGCTTTCAGTGGGAGGAGACGTTCCCGTCGACGACGAGGCGCCTACGGTGACTTCGTAAATCTCAAGATGATATGCCGGCTCAGTCTCTCGGAGGTGCTCATAGGGATATGCAGCGCGAAGGCGGGAACTTTACGGGCCTCTGCGTTCCCGGCCGGGCCTCTGCGGCCACGGGCCTGGTGTGTTCCTGCCATTGCGTCCGGTCAGCTACCGTCTTCGGCGGTGGAGGTGGGGCCCTCCCGCGTGCCGATGGTGCTGTTGCCTGGTCCCGGCTCCTCTTCTTCATCGTGCCGTCCATGCTTCACGGTGCCGTGGTGAGACAGCGTTGAACGCTTCGTGTCCGGGCTGGCGCAGGGTGAGGGTCTGTTTGGCGGCGAGCTTCGGAGTGCCTGAGGTGGAGGTTGGGATCGGGAGAAATCTCTGTTGGCCTGGCCGACATCGACGCGGTGGTGCTTGTGGGTGCCGCCAGACCTTCCTGGAGGGCGTCGGAGCTACCCTTCCTCTCCCCTCACCGTACCGGGGAAAACCCTTGGCAGCAGCGTCGTCTTCGTCGCGTTCCTTCTTGGAGGTGTTGATTGGTACCGGTGCTTCGGAGGCTCGAAGTCTGGTGGGAGATCTCCGGTGGGTGCAGCGGCCACGAGGCTTCTTCGTTTCTTTGTTGATCCGCCGTTGTCGGCGTTTGTTTCTCTTGTATTTTCTCTTTCTTTTCTTTTGGGCGTGATTGTGCTGTTTCCGCCCCAGCACCTATCGTTGGATGGTTCGGTTGGTTGCTTTGTATACAAAGCGGGGAAAAACCCTTTTTCGGTAGGGTGTGCGTGTGTGCGTTCATAAGGGTGAGTGTATGCACGTGTATATGAGCGCTTGTGTCTGTACTGATGCTCAAAAAAAAGCCATCGTGAAAGATTAAGATTGGTTTTAGGGGGAGGCTGGGGCCACCCCTGAAAATAGGAGGGGAAGGGGGAAGGGTTGTTTAGATAAGTTTGGCATGTTTCGTCAGCTTACGTACGCTCTTTGTTTAGCATTTCCGTTCATCAAATATGGTGTGCTTTCGGGTTTTTTCCGCCTCGGTCGGTTTCTCGGCGACTCCTGAGATTCTTCTTCTGCTCGTTTTTTGTCTCAGCCAAACGGGATGGTGGGTGGCCGGAAGCATCCCGGTAGCATATACAGGATGTTTGGGTGCTCAATAAAACTCACGTTGCCAATTTTTCTTATGAAAAAAAATATCTGGTCCCGTTTGGATGGTTACCAATATTTGGGCAAGTTAATGACTCTTTGTCCACAAGAAAAGATCTCAAGTTTTTCTCCTCCTGTCGGCGCCGCCACCGCTCCACGCCATCTCCGATGGTCTTTCAGCCATGGAGGAGCGGAGAACCTCGGGCCCCCGCCTACGCGAGGAACCCCGTTCTTGTTCTTGTTAGGTTTAGCATCATGCTTGGGGCCGTGTGGCGGTGACGAAGCCCCTTAGTAGCAATAATGTCTCCCACATTTTATCCCTGTCCCGATGGTGCGTGTAGCATCGTCGGAGAGCGTGTGGAGGTGTGGCTCCGTCAGATCTCACGAAATTCGGTCGGTGCTTGTCTTCGGTGGATTTGTTTGGATCCGTTCTTCGTTCGTCTTCGTTTGGGTGTTTACAAGTTTGATCCTTCCGATCTACGACTTTCTTCATCGGCGATGGTCCCTGCTCTGGTGTGCTGCTCCTTCGGGGCCTCAACATGAAAACTTTTTGACTGTCTACTACAACAAAGTTTGCCCACCTCCAGCAACGGAAAGGCGATGACGGCGGCGCACCTTCGGCTCGCTCTAGTGCTTTTAGTCGTTGCTAGGTGGTCCATAGACCTGGATTTAATTTTTTTGTTCATTGTAGTTTCATGATTGAAGATGAATAAATTGAAAGTTTTCTCACAAAAAAAGACTCTTTGTCCACTTTAGTTCAATTTTTCTGCCAATGTCGGTCAACCCAATCTTAAATCATGTCCACCTCCTCTCATTACCTCCCTCACCCTAGGCGCCTAGGGCAACTCTCCACTCCATATTTCATAGGTGAGCCACTGGATTCGCCTCCACTCTGTCCGCCGCTTCAGCGGCTGGTGGCGGGGAGAAGAATTATGGGGCCTCCGCTTGGGTTAGTAGTTTAGGTTAGGCTTGTTTAGTCCTCGGAAGTGCAGTGCTCGGGCAGATGGCGGCGCTATTTCTTCGAGTTTGTCTTCCGAGTTTCGATCGATGAGTTCATCTATCTAGACGTAGTCGACGGAGCTCCCAACGTAGATTCCTGCCATCTTCTTGAAGTGGTATGGTTAGGGTTTCTTGCCATGTGGCGAAATTTCCGGTCGGGTGCTTCAAATCTATGCAAGGCTTCAACCGCGACGACTACGGCTCTAGGACGTTTGTGCCCAAAGACAATTTTGACACTGAATAACACAAGTTGGGCTTCAGTTTTGCCCACTAGCAAATTGATGACAAATTTGTCATTTTTGTATCTCGAGCAATGTTTTCAATTTTGAGTTAAATTTTTGTGACTACATACACTGATGTTGTGTCAATAATAATTTGTTTCCGGATTTTTTTGAACATTTTTAAATGTGCAATTGTGTCCCATGCACCAG